AATGCTACCACAAAAACTCCTGTCACATTAGGGTCCTCTCGCACGATTCCACACTTGGCGGACGCTTCCAATCGATGTCTTAAGACGTCCAGCTTCCCGCTCCACCTGGGCAGCTTCCTTCTCGTTGAGACCCTGCGGGGCATGGCGGTCGGGCTGTCCTTTCAGTCAGGCGGTCCAGAGCCCAGCCTGTGCACCCTCTGGAACAGCAGCCCAGAAGGCCTACCAGCACGCGACCCCGAAGAAGTGCACAGAAGAAGCGCAGAAATACTCTGTTCGGAAATAGCCTTCCCAAAGGTCATGTGAAACTTCCACCTGAATGAGGCAGGGTACATTTTCAAGTTTCAAGCCTTCTTGTAGTTGAAGGTCTCTCGCTCCTGGCGGGGCTCGGCAGAAATCAAGTGCGCAGTAGAGAAAAACATTGGCTTGTCTTCACTGCGCTTTTAAAGTTTGGTTTCTGAAGAAGCGCTCAGAATGATTCTTTTTTTTCTGGGGGGGGTAGGCCGCTAGTAGAGGGAAGAGGTAGGTTAGCTAGGGAGTCGGTAGCTAGTACAAGCAAGGGAGTCGCTAGTACCTACAAGTCAGCTACTACGTATGGACACAGGATAGCTCACGCTTCTATTCATTTCGTTCCTAGATTTTTAAGGAAACTTAACTAAGTGGCCTGGATCTATCTGTTTCTCACAGCATACTCTACCCATCGCGCCTGCAGCATGCCTTGGAAAAGCGAAAGCAATTGGCTCCGAATGGACTTCCCAACTTTGCAAAGAGGCCTAGTCATCGTTGTCGCGCCCTACACGATCCCCATAGCATCTTTGGGTAGACCTTCCAAGACGCGACCTTCACGGGTCCCGTAGAATCCTCGTCCAGTGGTCCTCCTCTTTGCAGAAAAGACACGGACCATCTTCCGAAACTCTCGCCTCAGCAGCGAGGTCTCTCAGCGAGCTCAGGACGGAAACTGACAGCGTCGTTGGAAGAACTGACAGATGGGTTGCGTTGTTCAAGAAAAAGAGACACAAACTCATTGAGCCATGAGTTCTTCCCTGCCACCAACCTTCATGTTTGGGTGCGTACTCGTTTCATCTCGTTTCATCCTTTGAGCGCCATGTTCTTTGGACCAATCCAGGTGGTTTACCACGACAAAATGCCAACTTGTGGCGTCACCTCCCCTTGATCCTTGATCGATGCGTGGATTGCATGTCTGGGCGTATCTGCCAGGCCAACTGCAATAGCAAATTCCAACCTGCTGTACGGGTTACAACAGATCCTAATGAAGTCACCCAAGAGCCACCGCTGCTCGAATTGAGCAGCTTCGGCTCCGGCTACAGCAGCCTTTGTGGGCATTGGTGGAGTGTTTCTTTGGCCGCAAAGTAAATGTCAATGGTGAGCTGCACATCTCAAGTCATAAAGCATTCAGCCTCATGATTTGCTAAGACCTCTCTCTGTAGTCAGAAGGTGGGTCATCAAACTGGCCAAAGCACAAACACCTGACGTACCTGACACACGGTGCTGTGCCAAAAAGAACGCTGGTCACAAGGGCACTCTTGGCCTCAGTGATTCAACAAAGGCTGCCAGATTGGTGGCTCTTGTCGAAAGATAATGGATTAATTGAGCTCAGCAAACGTGGTCTGGCTCAACCTCAAAGGCCGTCCAGTAGGGATTGATTACGGAAGAATCCAACACATGTGGATGTCTCTTCGACTGATGATTGATAGGAGGGAAAGTCGACCACCAACCTATGGATCGGGTGCCTATCTATGCATGCTTAGAGGAAGACAGCATTGAAATAGCCAACATGGTCCTTCCGATTGAACATCCAAAAAGTTCAGCTTCATTCCAGGCGACCGGACCTAAATTACTTCAGCTTCCTTCACTTCCACAGCCCCGCTGGCCGCGCTGGCTTTCTCTTTCTCGAGCTGCGCCTCACAGAGACAGTCGACCGGAACGCCAGTTTCTCGGAAGGATAGGACCGGATTGACGGCCCTCATAGGATGGCCGTCAAAGTTTGCAAACGTCTCTCCGTCTACAACTCAGATTGGCTGAAGGCACGAGCAGGACAAAGGTTAGGTGTCTGAGAGGGCAACATTGGGAGTATTGGACCTGGCCAGCCAAACTGAAACACCTCTTTGACCTTCTCCTCGGCTCTTTGCTACACAAACTGCGCGAAGCGCATGGTTCACCTCACCTCCAATTCCTCTGCCCTCCAAAAGATTATCCATACCATATCAAGTCACAAGTCAGCGCTCTGGCCTTAAGCCTGCGCATGTCTGCGGGGTAGCTGATGTGGAAAAAGCTGTACCCCAAGAAGGTCACGCACCAGGGGATACAAATTGTTGCCTGGGCGTCCGAGGCTTGGAAAATGAACAAACATGCCCGACCTTGGGTGCAGAAACATTATCTAGAACTAACAAAAATAAGAATGACTCTTCTGAACCACAGTGGGGACATGATCCCCACATCACTAGTCAGGCTTTGATTGTGATTGAAGCAAGTGTTTAAGCAGAAAGCCCCCAAGATGCGGAGCCCTGGACACAACATCTTTTGCAGTCCTAGTTCTTGCAATGTTAAGTAGGGTCCAAAACCGGGGAAAACATCGAAAGTGATGTGTCTTGCACGCAGACTTCGTAGTTTCGGGACCCGTTCCTCGCTGAATTGGGTGCCATGGGACGGCCATCGCCTGGCCCAAAGCAACTGCAGAAGGGATGTCTCTGCTCTCACCCTGGCGCATATTGATTCGGTGTGCAAGTTCTGAAAGAATTGGGTCACCCAGGGTCACATACATCTTTGGTCAAATTTGCTCAAAACTTCATGACTGGAAAGTATAAACTCATACAAGATCATGCAAGGTTCCTCATCAAAGTGCTGTTCTGCCTTTTCCAATCCATGAATTCAACGTTCTGAAATCTTGGCTGTACCGCTTTCCATTCAACAGAAATCAACAATCAACCTCGAAATGACCACTAATGGAACTTCGCTTTCGGGCTGTTAATGTGGTCACGGGCCAAAGAACGAAAAGCAAAGCACGGGCGGCGACAGTCCTCATTTCGCCCAAACTCATAGCCAAAGGCGTTCGCCAAGTTTGCCACGAACAAGGGGCCAATGAGGGTGGCAATGGAGTTCTCAAGGGCGCACTCCACCGCCATGACTTTACCTCACAGAGAATCCAGCACCAAAAGGCAAAAGCTTCACAACAAAGCACAAGTGTCACTTCTGTGTCACTTCTGTGACGAGTCGGTGCCAAGGGACTGCGGTTCTGTGGGGGCACAATGTCCGACAGGATCGGGAAGTTGGTCCCAGACTGTGCCCAGTTTCCAAGGGTGCTAAAGCAAGCGATCACCGTGAAGTAGACGCCTCGCTGTGGCAGCGAGCCATGTGAAAACAGGAAGTCGGTCACCGCAGTCCCTTGAAAACAAAGCACACCAAGCAAACATGAGGGATACTTGGTGGGCAACAAGCTGCCTCCTCCAGAGCCTCTTGAGCCCTAGAAGAACGAGGCTTTCCACAAGTCTGATCCAAGGTGCCGAAGACCGCTGCGTCGGAACCTGGTGGAATGCCCGCGAACCAAAGGTAGATCAAAGGAATGCCCACGGCCACACTGATCTGTGCCTTGACAGAACAAGCCTCAGGCCTTGTGCCTGGTCCAAAAAGTGCTCTTCCTGCCTCAGGAGGCCTCCAGTCTCCAACCGATGGTTTTGTTCTTATCATGTTGTATATATAATTATGTTCTACTAATCTTCCTTTGTTCCAAGGGTTCCTTGAAGTGATGACCAGCACTTGCAGCCAGGTGTCACTAAGAGGTCGGCCATGGTAGCCAAAGCGCTTGGCTAAAATGTCTGCGATGAACCCCCCCAAGCAGGTTCCCGAAGACACCCACCACCGTGCCTTTTGGGCGATTCGAACGAACATCACGGAAGAGCGGAACGTAGACCATGAAAAGGCCAAGTAAACTGATGTTGTACAACTTGTACAACTGATTCGCCTTCAGAAGGGTCAAGGAAAAAGTGTGGAAAAAACAGCCAAAGCGCCTTCTGATGCTAGAAGGGATCCTTGCCAATCCTCAAGACCTGAGAGCTTGAAGAAGAGCAGGTTGTTGCCCATGACCTTGGCGAACATAGCGGATTCACTCTCCTTTTCATAGATCAAAGCCTGTGATGCATGTTTGCTGCATGCATGCTTTCCGGTCTTCACGGCAAGCAAACCTGCACTTCGTGACATCAACTCACGGTCCTTCGTGACATCAACTCTCCAATGATGAAACATTCGGTATCATTGGAGAGATTGATTGACACGTCATAACTTGCCTCAGGGTGTCAGCTTTCAATCGATGAGCTCGCCAAGCCACAGTCCACGGGATGGTGCCAAAGATTCCTTGCCTTGGTATTCCAAAGAACCCGATTTAGAGAAGACAAGGAGTCCAAGCCCAATGTTCAACTGGCTCCACCGTACGAAGACCAGGAACTCCTGGATGTCCATGTAAACCCCGGTATCCCAGTATCCTCCTAAAGCCTAAGTCAGTTCCCAACGAACTCGCACACCGCTTTTTCCTGCAGCCCAAGCTGCACCACCATGATCAAAAAGGTGGGGATTGTTAAAAAGTGCACCTCAGCAGTGGATTCAGTTTACCGACTCGGAAGTACTAAGTATCCTGCAGAGATGTCGCAGTCTCTTGATTTCTGAGGGTCGCACCATGATGCACAATTCTTCAATCACCGCATTGCATCCACTCTTGCCTGCTGAGGCATCCAGCTGTTTCGGTGGCTCGACCTCCAGCTGTCGGCCAAGACTTTTTTTCAGGTCACACTGGATCATCCAAACACTCGCAGGTGCCAAAGCAAACCAGGCCATGCAAACAGGGTGCCATAAATACACCAATTACTGCACCGATGAGAGCAGCAAGCACACCCCCCAAAACAAAGAGTGCTCGCCACCCAGGAATTTCGCCTCAGGCAAACAATACAAAGGATTCCTCGAATTCAGTGGGCGTTCACTGTGTTTCAAGATGATCAAGAGCTAGTTCCCACTTTGAGCCTGCTCAAAAAGCCTTGCTCTAGATTCGAATACGAATACACTGTGGCTCGTCTCAGCAGTATGAGTTCTGCCAAGGTACCAATTGTGATGTTGGCCAAATTGCCAGCAACCCTCAGTGCATGCCGATAATCCTGCGATCGAGTCAGTGGACTCGGTCGTTCTCTTGCAAAACAAGGTGCAGTGTCGTCAGGCACATGCCCACCAACAGCGCACTCTGCACATAGGAGAACATTTTGCCACGGCGATCGTCAGAGGTCGAATCTGCCACAATGCCATTCACAATGGGCCTCGTCGGAGGGTTGAAGGATCGATGTCTTTCAGTGGAACCCAAAACGAGCGCTTTGGCCAGCTCCAAACCATTCCATCATCATTCCATCATTCCACGCCTTAAAGATGCCAGAAAGAATCCACTCATTCCACGAAGGGCCTGGGTTGTAAGGATACACAGCTGATTTGCAACTGCAAGAAATGCAAAGCCTTTGCTTAAGCATCACCAGCACCATGCATGACCAGAACTACAGCCAGACCATTCCAGCTCTTTTTTTGCTGTACTACTAGGAGCAAAGGATGCAACTAGGCGCTCCTCGACGTTTCTACTTGCGGCTCAACAAGTTTGCTTCATGATGATTCTTCTTCAACTGAGACATCAACGATCATCATTCCAAATCCGTTGGCGGGGACAAAGGCCATCAACGTCGCCTCAGTGCGCTCGAGTCACCTGACCGTTCTCAGTGCAGCTCCAGGTCTTTCGGTCTTTCCGAAGTGGTGTTGCCGAAGGGCAGCAGTTGCCTCTCCCAGCGATCCAAGCATCAAGATGTGCTTCCTTTTGAGGCAGCCTGCCAAACAGCAGTCAGAAAAGCAGGTTCTGGTTCTGGAAGCCTCTTTCCAGTCTGTGTTTGTGAAGTTGTGAAGCACACATTTGTGTCACAACCGTGACATCCATACTGGTGGCTCGTGAGATCAATGCCTTCCAGCAGGCATTTCGTGCTCATACTACTGCTTCTGCTCGAGTTAGAAAAGCTACCCTTCACACCACTTTACCTCTCACCTCGGTCAGCGAGGACACCCCAAAAGGGTGCAGCCAGATTGGTTAGGACCATCTGAACGGTGCTCAGGATGGCCTCAATTTCTGCGGAATCGCGCACGTTCGCGCCATACGCTGAAACTGTGAAGGCACAAAGCAGTCAAATGGGTCAAATGAGGGATTATGTTCTATTCTTAGATTGTACAAATTACAAATATGTGGCTTCTCACTCTGCTGACAAGGAGCAACATCTGTCAACTTCATCAGGCCACCCTTCTGCAAAGCGAATTGGCATGCAGGCACCAGCTGTGAATCGATGCCTGCCCAGGCCAATATCTCGGCAAAGCTGCCTGTGCAATATCCCAGTAACTTCCTAACGATTGGTAGCAAGAACCATTGGTGCTAAGAAAATTAGGTTATGATAGTTGACCAGGGCTATTGCTTGTGCTTGACAACCATGAAACAATTCTGAGAAGGTTTGAGATACCTTAAAGGCAGTTCCCTCTTGCGGAAGACTTTTCTCCGCAGTCGCTTCACCCACAGGCGGTCCAAAGTCTTGGAGGACTTGCCGCAATGCTGTCAACCTTCAGGGAATGCAAAGGGCATCGCTACTAGGAGCAAGGACGCTACTAGGGGCTCCTGGCCTTACTACTAGGAGCAAGGATGCTACTAGGAGCAAAGGGCATCGCTACTAGGAGCAAGAATGCTGTCTGGACCTCCAATGACCTCGGTCACCCTCGGTCGTTGGCTGAACCGACCCACCCGCCTTTCACGAGGTCGGGAGAGTCGAAGAACCAAGCCAAACTGGGCCAAGTAAGCGAGCTCATCGTAGTTGTTCCCCTCCACCTAAGCCAGCCAGCAGCGACGAAAAAGGAGGACCCTCAAAAAAAGGCAAGTCAGGATAATGGGAAATGCACCAAGTCCAACAGCAACAGGCTGCCGCACATAGATGCTCAACACCCAGGCTCTAGTTGCTGAAGGGTAACATGTTGGAAAACAGGCTCAGTCGTATTGATGGGAGCTCACTGACAACAAAGAGCTCTTTTCTCCAATTGGCGACAGTTAACGATCCTGACCAAAGATCTCAATGTCAAAAAGGCACATCTCATACAATGCTGCCAAAGGCACAAAGGTCCTGTAGAATCGTTGCAGTTCTTCCTGATTTCCTTTGAGTACGAGTTGCCTCGTGGCGATGTGAGAACGGATTTCGCCAATGCCAGGCCTCCTGGTGGAAAATGCGCCATCTTCCGTGCCGTGGTCCTTGCAGAGAACGTCATACTTCTGGCGCCACAAGTTGAAGCCACAGTTGGCGTAGTGAAGCACCACCGGTGCACCAGGCCCCTTGCAAAGCAAGGTGTAGAGAGTCATCCCTCCATCACGAAGAAATCCATGAACACCTGCTGGCAGTGGTGGCAATTCACCTCGTGGCCCAATAGACGTCCTTACCTTGTTTGTCTTTTCTGGAAAAATACTGTATACGGGAGATGCCTCCAAAACGACAGAAAGCACAAAAAGTAAAAATGCTGGCAACTAGGCATCTCCTGGAGACTGCACACTTGCCATTGGAGTAGGAATTAAAAAAGGCAGGACAGTGTGGCCGTGGCCCATGGCAACTCTCATCATCACTTGAGTCGTCTTCAGTGCTCTGACGCTGTTCGATTGGGCTTAGACTCACGCCCAGCCCTTCCAGTACAGGACTTCTCTTGGCAGCAATCTCATGCATGATGCCCAATAAGCGACGAAGAGCGTGCCTCTCCTTTCGAGGAAGCCGCACATATCCATGCGGATGGCCTCCGGGAACCGCGTCCGCGTGTTTGCGCGCATAGAGGTCTGGCTCAAGCTCTTGGTCTTCATCCGCCACTTCTCCAGAATACAAAATGCGAGGCTCGACGCCCAGCTCTTCAAGCAGCATTGGATTCATCTTGAAAAGACTGACCTCCTCAAAGGGATCTTCCACTTCTAAGACTTCCGGAACTGCTTCGAGGTTGGCAAAGCGCACAGCCGAAAAATGAAGTGGAACCTCAGCAAAGAATTTCCGGGCATCATCATGTCTCTCCTGGTCAGGAAAGAACAAAATTTCATCTGCATCCACATGAAGTAGCCATTGGTAGCCTTCCTTTTGTGCGGTGAAGAGAGCATGCTCGATACAAATCATTTGGCGCGCTTGAACATCCTTGATGTGTGCATCAAGGTGTGCTGTTTCACGGTAGAGTTCCAGCGGGTGATCCTCTCGCAAATAGTATCTCGACGTCTCACGCGCCTCCCTCCACCACTCCTCAGTGCAGCGAATGGCAACTGCGGAACACAGCAGGCCATTTGGACCTGTTGGTAGTGGTCTTGCAAACGCTTCAACAGCTGCAATCGCCTCAGCCTCACCTTCCTCATCCGGGGCATCAAAATACAGCATCACTTGCTGAAATCCATTTCCGTGATGCTGAAGAATCAAGCTCTCCAGCAGCTTCGCTGATTGAGCCCTGACCATGGATGCAACGCAAAGTCTCGGAAGATGCTCATCTTTCAAGTCCATCCTGTGATCTTCATGGAGCAAAGCTGGTGCCTCCATCAGGGTGCCATCCGGTGAGTGCCAACTACTCAGCCAGGCCAACTCCATGAGGGGCTTGGGCCTCAAGCCTTGCGGGAGCTTTCGCCACGTCACGCCATTGGCTTCCGCGCAGCGCAAGGCTTCAAAGAAGGGCCAGTCTTCCTGAGAAGCTCGAGATCCAAAAATCCGGCCGTCTGGGGGCGGTTAACGTGCCCTCGTTTGCTTCAAGAAACGATTCGGTGGTCCTATCTTTGCCAGTTCCGCAAATGACCAAACTGAAGAGAAAAAACACGCCTGACTGAAGCCAAAGTCAGTCTTCCAAGTCTTTGCTGAAAACCCGAAAGAAGCGCTGCAGGCCAAGGGGGGCGGCCGTCAACCAATACAAAGGCATTTGGAAGTTCACCTCCGCCCTCCATGCCCTCAGTACTGGCCCACACTTCGTCTTCATGTAGCTTGGCCCAGCCATTTGTGAGATCTCTCACAAGAACCACACGGCCATACTCGAAAAAGCCCACTACTTTGGAGTTGGGTCCGTCTAGGTTCGGTTCTGACCGGAACTCCACATCCTCAAGCGCTTCCAGCAAGATCTTCTCTCGAGCCTTCGCTTGCAATTGCTCCAGCATCCCAAGCGCGGGAAAGCTCCAATGCGCGGGAAAGAAGCAGCAGTAGGAAACAAAGGAACTTCACCAAAAAGCTGCTCAACTGCTCTGCCCCCCCTACCCAAAAGCGATAAAGCGATGGCCTCCAACCTAAAAGCGATGGCCTCCTTCCTGGTTCAGCAGTACTTAAGGAACAACTTGTAACAATGATGCAAACATCTTTTCACTTCGCAATTGAAGACAAAAACCAGATCATGAGTTGCTGCTCTTGGGCATAGGCCACACAGGCCCTGCCCTTGAGCAAACTGTGGCTAGAAGTCAGAAAATGCCAGAAGACTATCAGTCAAACATTATGCATCTGAATTCCATTGTTTGTCCTGGTATGCATGCAGTTTATACATCAGCCTGTTTTTGCAGCTACGAAGGTGCTGTGCACCCGCGACGCAACGTCCACAACATCCCGACCTCCGGTCTAAAGCAGCCCTGACATTCTCCGTTCAACAAGTTGCTCTGTGCCCACCCGACAGCACTTGCCTTCAACAGCACTCGCCAGGCACAAGGCTGCCAGCATCGACCATGGTGGCTGCCGCCCGGTGTCAGCAGTGTCCGACACCGTGACCGAAGCCACTGTGACATCGGAGCCCTGTGATTCCTGTGCTTCAACATTCAAGAACAGGCTGCGCCACAGAGTTGCATTGGATTTCAGCAATCAAAGACACATCACAAATCAGAAGCATAGAGGCATAGACATGTACATGTTGGACATTGTTGCACATCTCAGAGCCTCTTGACTTCACAAAACCTTCCGACTTCTCCGACTTCTCTCTCCCCTCCTCAAGCTTGGTGGGCTGCGCTGGCGATGTGACCTCCATCCTGTTCCAAAGTGTGATGGAAGCCTTTGAGCTAACGTGGCTGCGGCATGCTCGACCTTTGCTGTCTCGCACTCACAGAAAAACCTTTTGGATCCTTTTGGTATACTTGTCACCAGGTACAGCCACAAATGTTGAGCACTCAGACTTGTCGAGGCTCCCAGTGTCATCCACATCAACCTGTGCAATATGCCACCACCGAAACCGGAATCAGCGTCGTCACGTGCGTCTTCGGAAAATTGAATGGCATCTGATGGTATCCGTACCAAACTGCTCTAGTCCAGGCCTTGTTCAGCATGCTTTCCATGACCAGAAAGTTGGCAGTGAAGCCCAATTCTCTGAGTGCAGACATGGCCTCGACTTGAGAGCAGTGGCCCTACCATTGCTACAGAAGCCAGAGGCTTTCAAAAAGAAAGTTCTTCCTCAATTCGATAGTAAGAAAAGCCTTGGAAGTGTTTTCAATGCCTCTAGCGCTGGAAGCAACTCCTTTTGCTCCTGGCGCGTCGTCTCTCAAAGCTTTGCCGGCAACTTTCATACATCTGTCACATCGGTCCTTGTCGAAGGCCTTGTCGATCTGCTCGAGATCGATGTCGCAAAAGCCCTGGAAACCGAAGCCAAAACCGGCCGAATTATATAGTTGAAAAAAGCGCTTATTGTAATTGAAAAGCGGAGTTTGAAAAGATTGAAAATGGACGAAAATGAGAGTCAAGGCGAGTCGCTGGCCATGATGGTCTGTGGGGAGTTGAAAAAGAAAACGACTGCAAATCGTCCTGCATGTTCGAATCCCTGTCCTCGCGTTTCCGGTAGGTCAAAAGGAGGCGCCAAAACGCACTCAAGTCCAGCCTTGCAATCCCCACTTCTGCGGCGGGCACCGAAAACCAGAACTCACTCAGAACTCTCTCAGGAGCCAGCTCGGTGGTCGGCACACCTGCTTCCTCGGCTGCCTTGAAAAAGGGAGACCAAGCCAACCAATTTGGACATTACCTACTTCTCTTAGTGAACGCTTTCAGAACCCCATCGAAAACAGAGTGGAGATTACTTGGATTCTCGAAGATCTGAGCCTCGAAAATTGCCGAGATGTCCCACATCTCCTTGTCACAGCCACCCAACAGAATCTGTGTCATGCCGACACGACATACGTGGCTTCAAAACTTCAAGATACTGAGAATAAAGACTTGCCTCAAGAGAATTTAGAGAATCAAGATCCGACTGACTAAGACTGTCTTTTGCCTATCTCACAATTTGGACCATCAAGTCCTACTTCTTTTCCGGCTGCCGCTTGACTGGGGTGCGGGCATAGCCAATCTCCTTCAGAACTGGCACCACCTGGCACCAAGATCAGTCCTCCATGAGTCTCTCCCAACGAGCATCGCTTGCCTCTCTCATGTCCAGGGTCCCAGAGTGGTCGGCATCGTGTCGCTGCATAACACGTTGAACCATCTGAGGCGCAAAAGTCAAGGAGGGCATTTTGTCTTCACATCTTCAACTCAAGTAATTTGTAAAAAAGAAAAATGTTCAGCACAGCTGTTAGTTTAGGATGCGACAACCAACCATCGCCATTTGCTGCGATGCCGTCGCCTCCAGTTCGCACTCACGGACCTTACGCATGCAAACAATGAAGTTGTGGGTGTCGATGCGGCTCCCAGTCTTCACCTGAAAAAAAACGCACTCAGTCTTCAACAAGGAGTGACCGTCGCCGTCCCAACCCAAAGAAGCCGTCAAAGTATGGCGTCAAAGCGTCACACGTCCCGGTCCTGGATCTCTACTCTTGTACTCTTGCATACAGCAGTTGGGTCCCGAAATGACTGATAAGGCGACACAAGTCCGCCAAGTCCGCACGACTGTGGCTGCCTGAGTGAGGACCTGCTGTATCCGCTCCTTGGGCCACATAAAGCCCAACCAGTTGAGGATTGATGGCAAGTCCTGCATGGCTGGTTCGCACAGGATAGGCGCTGGAGATACAGCCATTACTCTGGCTCAAATATTCTGATGCTGCCAACCTGCCCTACGCAACAGAAGTACTAAGGTACATAATTAGTATTGCCTTCTTGACTTGCTTTGTTGGGGCCATATTCTTGGAGTGCCAAGTCTGGCCACCCCTGCCTTACTGTCCACCTCGCCCCGCCGTCGCTGGTATCGTTCAAAGATGCCCATGAACTCCTCGCCGAACTGAGTTCAACAAATTGAACAACTCAACAACTGTTTCTTATACTACTAGTAAGGCACTTGTTACTACTAGTAAGGCACTTGTTTCTAATAGCTTCTGGTTACTACTAGTAAGGCACTTGTTACTGTTATGATCTATTTAAGCAATTCCTTTGAAACATCTTTCCCATGAAGACTTTGGTACTTTTTCGCATGTCTATCAGAGTCTATCAGTCTATCATCAATCGCTTTGGCATGATCGGACCAAAGCTCTACGCGAAGAGCACATGTGTCTCATGGATGTGTTTCATGGTCTCCTCGAACTCCGGCCTTGTGAAGCCTTCTCTCAAGTGCAAGAGGTCCAGCAACTGTGCGCAGTACAGTTGCTGAAGCAAGATTGGACAACATGTCAAAAGAACCTGGAGATAGATCCTTCGGTACATCAACAACCAAGGGTCGACGTCTGATTCGGTAACCAAACGGTCTGATTCGGTAACTATGATTCGATAACTAAAAGCGCTGATTCGACAACTAAAAGCGCTGATTCGGTAACTAAAACGTCTGATTCGGTAACCAAAACGTCTGATTCGGTAACCAAAACCGCCGATTCGGTAACCAAAACCCGCTGATTCGGTAACCAAAACCGCTGATTCGGTAACCAAAACCGCTGATTCGGTAACTATGATTCGATAACCAAAACCGCTGATTCGGTAACCAAAACCCGCTGATTCGGTAACCAAAACCGCTGATTCGGTAACCAAAACCGCTGATTCGGTAACCAAAACCAGGAAACCAAAACCAAAACATTTCCAAAAGAAGACACTGATGTCCTGGGTAGTAGTATAGTAGTAGTAGTAGTAGTAGTAGTAGTAGTAGTAGTAG